GTTTACGAATAAAAGTTGAGATATTGTTTACGTTGTGATTTCTTATTTCTTTCAGTAAAAAAAAAATAATAAAGGAAGTGTAGCTTTTAATAACTATAAAAGATTTTAGAAAACTTTCTAAATAAAAATTTCACGTATATAAAAATATCGTCAACACCAAATTTTAAAATTGATTCAAAAATACCAAAACTTAAAGTTGATCTCTCACTTTTTTTCTGAATTTAGCATCATTATGACAATGGTGAGTTAATACTACTATCAAAAAATCTTTGTAGTTTATTACCTTATACCTGTACACAAACACTAATTGCTTTATATATATAAACATTACTCCACGTTATAATTTCCAAATCTCTAATGGTAAGTATCTGTTACTAAGATAGTATGTTCCTTAGAATATATTTAACTGTTGTCGTATATCTATTGCACCGTGTTACAATGCTCTTCATCTGACAACTACTTATTATCCGAGCTCTCAATTATCGCAACAATATCATCCTCGCATAACGCTTTACTCGCATCTTCTCATTATACCATACACCCAAATGTGTATTATGAATACCTATTATATAACTGTTAAAATTTATCGACAGTTTTATAGTATCGAAATATTTGATGGATATAAATCATAGCTTAGTTTATTAAATTTATATATATTTATATACGTAGTGTGCAAATCTAGTGCTTGACTTTTATCGATTATTCGCAACTCAAGCAAGAAAAAAAAATATATATATATATATAGTAGAATGGAGTAAAGTTCAATAAGAGGAAACCAAATACACAGCGACGAATTCAGAGTGTCGCAAGAATTCAAATAACCTGCAGACTTAATCAAATATTTTAATAAAGTGACATCACAGAGAAAGGTTATCTTTGATGTAAACCATTCTTTTCAACCTTATCTTCACAGAGAAGACCGCCCGAAGCAATATTTCATCAAGTAATTTTGACAGTTGAAAGAGTTCGTAAATGGAAAGATAACCAATTAAATCTTTAGATATTGTACCAAGTAAAGTATCTTTAAATATATTGCAGATATGCAAATTTAATTATTTTCATTATGACGTTATTTATAAATTATTTTTATTATAATGAGGCATTCAGTTTATTTATTTATTTTACACCATACTCGTGTATGACGAATTCTTAGCATTACAATCATAGACTAATCAATCATCCTAAACCAATCATAGACTAATTTTAAGATGTTTGTAATTATTTATTATTGTGAAAAAAATATATATGTATTTTTTAAAAATAGTTTTAAACTATCTTAGAATATGAATACTTAACATCTTCGGAGAAGAAAAATCAATTTAAAATGAAAAAAGGAAGAATAGTTTTACATGTTTTATTACTTTTTAGCGTGCAAACTTTTTTTTTCTTATTCAAATCAGTAAATTTATTAAAGTTAGCAATTTTTATTTATTTATTTATTAAATTGTTTATATGACCTACTAAAATCTCAACAAGCGTAAAGCTTGGACTTGAAATAAATAAAATGTATAGTTTATTCTTGATCTGTTTTACGATTTGTGTTCCGGAACGATAAATTTTTAAAAAATTCCAGGCAATAATTTATCAGAAAAGAGCATTTAAGAGCCGATATATAACACAATTTAAAAAGGAAAGTAATCTCTTTGACTTCCTTCTACCTATTAAGACACAGTGAACCAAACCAGACAGACAATTTCCCTATGGTATTGCCTAAGACCTTCTATATCCGGTAGTAAGTTAGCTTGTGGACAACTGGCAACAAAGAGGCATGTCCAGACAACTCCCAAGGGTGCCATTTCGCGCTAGGCCCATAAGTCAGACCTTATAGGTGAAAATGACTGTCTTCGTTTTTCTTCCTTGCATAAAACCAGGAAGAATTCATTAAAGATAAAAAAAAAGAAACCAACAATAACAAGGATACTAAATTACACAATTAACCATAACACGGTTATGTAAATTTAATTTATTTCAGACATTAATGCCAAGCTGATGACGTCATTTAGTCAAATTATCATCTGATGAACGTTCAAGATAATTATAATTTGCAAATTACTTAATTTACTTGTAATTAGATAATATATGTATATAGCTCGATTAGAAGCCTATAGGCTAATTATAATAAAGTGAATAAAAGAATTCTTAAAAAAAAAATAAGTTTTAAATAAAGATTTTAAGAAATAGCATTGTTGTTTTTTTTTAAATTATCAATTGTTTTCTCCCTCAATTAAACTCATTAATGTAGATAAAAGTTAAGAGTGTCGCATGCCTTTTATAAAAAAAAAGAGCATAGTTTTGAATGCATAAATATAAAAAAGAAAGAAAGAAAAACTTCAAATTTTTATTAAGCAGGAAGACTTAGCTTAGAACAGGTGTTCGAAATGGTTTCATTCTCTTCCTCCCTTTCACTAAGCAAGCCCGCATCAGAGCCATAGAGTATTGAAATGCGGATCGAGTAACAATAATGTAGAAGAGACAAATTTAAAGAATCTAGGTCAACTAGGAGAATCCCAGATTGAATTTGGTAGGGATGAACGAAATTTGCACTTGTGTAGAAGAGAATGTAACTTGTGAGAAATGAATTTTGACGTTGTTATCGAACTGTCTTGCTATAGGCTATAGATTCGCTAAAATATCTATATACACTTCGATGGAAAGAAAGAGAATGTCGTATCAAATCTATGAATTTAACTGTATGTAATAGAATCTATAGTGTATTGTATATACTGTATTATAATCTCCAATTTATATACAATACAGTATATAAATAAAGCAATTCAAATGCTATATAGTTCTTACAAATTCATTAAGAAAAATTAAATAATTTTACAAATATTTTGGAGTATTTCTTATAAACTATTGTATTCATTTGTTTTCGTATGGTTAATTATTGTTTAAATAGTGTATTAGATTGTTTTTAGATTGTAAAGATTGTTTAACAATGACACTAATTGTCTGGAAAGCAATAATTCAATTGTACATTAATATAAATTTACAGTGTATTTGAAAAACACACTATTTACTCCGAAGTATATTGAAGATTTTTTTGTGCTTATTTATAGGTTCTATATAGATAAATTCCTAAAATTTATAAAAAATAATAATAAAAATTAATAAAAATCCTTTGAATTTTTCATTGATAAAATGTAATTTCCTTCTGACTTATTTTTCCTAGTTTTAAAGTTTGTATTGAATTTATCATTTTGAAATGATAAAATGAATGTATCATTTGTGAAAAATATTTTAAAGTAGACTCTATAAAGAAGTATCCATTAAGTAAAATATGTTTTATCCAGACTACAAAGTCACGGGGTCAAACGTGGATGGATCTCCATTCAGGTTTGATGAATGAAAATTGTTCTGGCAGATTTTATACGGGATAACTTCCAATAGAAAAAAAAGAGAGAGAACAAGCCTAAATATCTTTAGGTTTTCATCCTTTACACCGTATTAATATACTGTTTAGTACGAAATACTGTACATAAAATACTAATGCAGAATATATGTAGTTATACCGTTAAATCCTTAGCTACTACATATATTCTACATTAGATAAACATTAAAGACTTAAAGTACATATATTCCTCATTAATATTTTACTGGTGTAATAATAATTTTAAAATTACTATCTAAAACAATTGTTTCAATAGACAATAACCTACATAAATTGATAGACTTAAACGTAGCATAATTAATTTCTTGAAACACGTTTTCTTTAAATAATCGAGTAGTAAAATCATAAAAGTTCTCGATTTAACTCATACAAAATCTTTAGTTTTCGTTATAACGCATTTCGATTCGAAAGAAATATATATATGACACGCATCGTTCGATTTTTCTCCCCCTCTCCAGTCACGTACTTATCATAGAATTCTGATTACACTACTGGGTCTTTACTATACCAGGTTTCAACTCAGTAATTTTGGTTCCCGAAAGTCTCGAAATGTTTATCTAACTCGGACAGTAACTTTATAGATTGTAGAATGTAGTTTCAACAGTTAAGTTTCACTAGGGGGAAAGAAACGGCTGTACTTCCCATAACATTGTATTTTACGATCCAAAAGAAGAGTCTACTACATTCCTATGAGGTTTTGTCTAAAAAAACAAAACTAACCGAAATTCTCTTGTTATTGGTACTTTTATTTAATCCAATTCTTCCTATTCAATTACTATATTTTAAATTTTAACTTGAGATTTAATAGATTCTAAAATCGAGATTTGGATAGATACATTCTGTTTAAGTCAAGTAAATAATATCAATTGAATAATTGAAAAAAATATCAATTAAATTAATAAATTACACGCTTTTTTACAATACCAAAAACTACTTAAGTGAAAGATAATTGGACTAAAATACATAGTCACGCAACAATAAATATATTTTTCTTAATATATTATAGGGTCTATACTGTAAGTTTACACCTAAAATAAACACGGAAACTATATATAATACAATGAATTAAAACTCTAGGACGATAATTATAATTAAAATTTACAAGCTAAGAAAAAAAAAAAAAAACATCGAATTAGAGTAAAAGTGTTTTCACAATTCGTTTCCTTTCACTTTTCTAAATTAGATGATGTAGTCTGAAAAGGGTTATCACGTTTATTTTGAGGCTGGATGAATACTGAATCTGATGAAGCTTTAAAATAAAGATCCGTATCCTTCCTCCTCACTACTTTATCCAATCTCGAGTCATGAAAGGGGGAAAAATCGTGAAAACACTTTCCTCTAATTTAGTGTTTCTTCTAAACTTGTAAGTTTTAATTATAGGATTAAAATAGCATAATTTTAAAACTCTAACCTACGAAATAACTAATATATAAGTAAATTTACTCTATATTATAACATATAATAAAGAGTTTAAACGTTAAAATTAAAAAGAAATTATATATATATTAAAATTAAATTTAGTAGAATTATAGTGAGAATTCAATTATTTTTAAAAAGTAAGAATTATTAAAGCTAAAAGATGTTCAAGGTTATGAAATAAGTGGCCTACCTCGTGGATGAATGAGACAGCAACTATGCTATCCGGACTATAAGCTGAGTGTGCTGAACTACTCTAATAAACACACAAAGGATGAAGGGTAATTGGTTATGTTATCATTACAGTTAGAGAGTTTCATTATAGTTGTCAGAAAGACATTAGATAAATTTACACATACAACAGAGCATTTTAGTCAAATTATCATCTGATGAACGTTCAAGATANCGCCCATTTTGAGAAACGCTGCGTTAAACTATTTTTTCGTACGTAAATCAGTTATCCGAAATATCAGTTATCCGGACAACCCCAGTCCCCAATTGATTCGGAAAATCGACGCTCTACTGTATTTGTATACAACAATTTAAATTTTCCATATCCAAGCATTGAAAGGAATCTTTAAATTTAAAATATTATTCAGTTTATATTTTCAATAATATAAAATGTTTTGTTAATTTTCTTCATAAAATTATACTGATGTAAGCCACATGTATTTTCTTCTCAAGATAACTCTTATTTGGTAATTTATTATTAGGCATTTTAAAAAAGAAGTAAAAATGTTCTAAAGAGAAAGCCACACAATTTAATCAATGAACATTCCAAACAAAATCCAGAAAGTATTTTTCATTAAGGATTTACAAAATAGTATATTATGCTTTTGTCCACTTTGGACAACTTCGGATAATATTGTGAACTAGGACTTGTTATACTGAGGGAAGAGAATCATACATTTTCAAATTAAAATATCTTTAATGTAACTTAATCCTGTATGCTACTACATTTTAGCATTTCGGGCCAAAGCCCCTCTTCAGCAGTCATTACATTTTCTAATTACAATTTTACCGGATATCGATTTTTTTTTCTTAATTAAATAAAAAGGAATGAGTAAAATAATAAGAAACGAATTCTGTTTTGTTAAGACGGATACAAAGAAATCGTTGATTACCATTTACCTTATGCTAATAACTAACTTATTACAGCTTTTGTTTTTTTCATAACATCTGATTTCTTCACTAAACGAGGTAAACAAAGAGCGGAATGTCCTCGTTAACACAACTGTCTTCTCTCATTCAATTATAATAAATAACTTCTACAATTTTAAACAATTACTCGATTCCTTAATTACATTTTATATTTTATAAAATAAGATTTATTAAGGATAAAAGTAAAAATATCAATAGAGATCCGTTTTCAAAGTATTTTATTATTACTTTTTTTTTTTATTCAATTTTTCTGTTCCTTCCCAATTATCCTTCGTATCAATTGAAGAAAATTTTTCAGACGTATTCCTTTCTATTTACTTGCAGTAAACTCAGTGCCATTTCAAATAAAGATTCTACCTAAATATCTTCCAATTTAAACAAGTGTATCAGATACTCCCTTCGCTTCATTTCGGCTCAACTCGATTCACACCAAATTCCAAATATTTGTGTCATACCTTCAACGAATCATTTCGGGGGTATCCTGCTAAGGTCACCCTGTTTTTTCTTTCCATATATGCCATTGTAAAAAGGGAAAGAAAAGTTTCTACTAGTTCTTTTACAATCATTCGAAAGGCATCCAGACTTCATTCCAAAAACCAACTGATCCGTTATTTCAAGAAACAATAATATCTTTGCTTTGTTCAAAAAGCAAAATTGATTTGTTCTGACAAAGTCTCAATACATTCTTGTTTACTCGTACCAAAAAATAAAAATATTCTTTTACGTGGAGAATTTTTCAATGTTTCAAAGTAGAACTATCATATTCCAATTTTTTTACAATCCTTTCTAGAAAATTTCCATTCATAGTGCCAAACAACTAGTATCAAGAATCTCACTTAAAGTCTGCAACTGACGGCTTGATAATAGATGACCGGAGGAACAGCCAAGAATTAAGTGCATACATAACTGAATATGTATGTAAATCCGGCTAACTCTACTCGCATGCTTCTTCTTTTTTTTTATTTTCTTCTATTTTCGATAATCTTTTAAATTACTTTTAAATACGGATGATTATTAAAGGGGGGTGTGTGCAAAAGATCTCTATTATTTTTGACGCATGCTCTTTGACGTTTAACTCTGGCATTGTAAAATAGTCATAAAGTAGACGTAATGTCAGAGGAGACGATAAACTGACGTCAGAACCCGTAAAGGCTGCAAAGTTTATGACTTCGCTTATTGTTCTGGTAAAAGTAGCACCTCTCGAATGCCAACTCGCTATTGAAACGTATAGAAGATCTTGCCTGGTAATATTAATATAAAGGAGTGGTAAGTACGGAAAGAAAAGTTTTCGTATACAGTACAGATGTAAAACATTCATCTGGAAGTACTGTATTTCTGCTTTGCCCAAATTTATAAAGCGTGTGATGGAAGAAGTGTTTGAGTGAAGTAAACAACTTCCGTCTTTGTTATTTCTGTAGATCCCGTTGACAACTCGTAGAGTTTTGAAGATCTCGATAACCTCTTGCAGAAAATTGAGAAGAACTCAACAGCTGTTTGAGATTAAACTGAGAGCTTTTTTAAGATACTTCTAGACGCGTATAGAGAGAGAAACCTTATGAAAGCTACTGACAAAAATTATACAATCAGCATGACCCCGAGCAAAATAATTGCTTCATCGGTTTCTAACAAAATTTAAATAGAAATTTCTATTTAAAAAAATATATATTCAACTGGGTTTTTTTTCAGATAAATTAACTGATAATTAAAAAAATAATAATAACAGTGGCATTAATTTATTAATATCGAAGCGAAGAAAAATAGAGCATGTCTGTTTAATCATTTATGCCCGGATGATTTCTGTTTTATATCTTCTGTTGCATACAGAACAGTAAAGAGTAGGTGATGTCGTCCGTATCAAAAAACAGATAATGACTTTTACAGATAATATTGTTTCGAGTTCATCATAGAAAAGGAAAATCGTTTATTTTTTCCTGCAAAGAGAATTGCACGATAGGAAGAAATAAAAAAAAAGAAAGAAAATTGAACAGTTTGAGTGGAGAAGTTGGGGAGATACGCAATATAATAGAAAAGAATAAGGGATACAAAACAATATATATTGTATAATAGATAACTAAATGTGAATGGAGGGATGTAAAGATAATGAAAACCGAATGTGAAAATACATTATCAAAGAATAATAAGTATTTAATAAATTACGTTAGATAATGGTAAAAATAATGATAATCACAATGAAATAATTAGAAAACAATGTAGAAGATCTGAAGATTGACACTTATCAATGTATATTCTATTATATCTATGGATATTTTTAATAAAAATGGAAAGAAGAATAGAAATTTTTTTTTAGAAATTGTGAAAGTAAGATTTGAAAAATAAGTTTGTCCGAAACGTGGACATGGCTAAGAAACTGGACACAACAATGAAAGTGAAGAATGGTTCAAACAAACCAAAGAAAAAAATCAAAAGTATTTTTTTTGTTGTTGTTTGTTTTGTTGATGTGATGAATGAGAAGGTGGATAGAAAAGAATTCATCAGTGGAAAAGCCCTCTCTTTAGGAAGTGAAAAGAAAAAGAAATGATAGATGAATCTTTTCTACCTGAAATAAATTATATACAGTCTGTATATATATATTTATTTATTTCTTTTTCTTAATCAACTTTTAAAATATTTTATTTTATCATTTTTTATCTGTAAATAATTTTAGAAATGTCAATCAAAACAAAACATTTCTTTTATCGTTCTTACTCTATACTTGGTTTGTTTCAGATACTTCACCTGAGTCTATACATGATATATAAAAAAGATACGAATGATTCAGATCAGATTACAGACAATTTGAATTATTGTTTGGTGTATAATATATTTATAACCTGAATTATATTTTAAAAATATTAAACATTGTTCTAATTAAACACTAGGGAAAAAAATATATATATATATACGTTAAGAACAATGCTAAATTTAAACGAATTTCTGATTGAAAATTGTAAATTAAAGAATCTTCTAACATTTTTTTAATCATTATTAACTTAATTTTACAGATTAACTTTATTATATGATACAGAACTTTATCATGTATTGTTTATTATAAAATGATGATAAATTATTATATCATATGTTCTAAGCGGCTTTCTGAATAAAGAAACAGACTATTCAATGTAAACATTTTTAAAATATTACAGAATTTATATAAAAGATTAAGAAAAAAAAACATATAACTTGTTCTATAGATAGTACATCCTGTAGTTCTATAAGTCATAGTGATGTAATTCATCAAAGACTCATAATTTCTAATTGCATGCTTAATCATGGTCCATTATAAATAATTCAGTCGCATAATTATCGAACAATTACTATTAAATTGGCCTTCAAGTATTAAAAATACATTCTTACACGATAGGAAATTAGAAAAGTCTAAGAAATAAAGTTTTATCGAATTTTCTATTTTTATTATATATATATATTTAAATTAAAGTTAATTAGCGTAGAATATTGTTGATTTTTCCTTCACGAGAAGTGTTAGAAAGAAAGTATTTTCCCTTAAATTTCTTTAAAGGAAAAGAATTTCCAAGATAAACGATGGAAACTGTTAAAAAACACGCACTCATTAAATAAGTAAGGGAACGTTTACAACCATAAATAGCCCTTCTAAATAAGCTTTAAAGCCGCTTAACAAAAATAATCCCTAAAAATACTTTTAAATAAGAATTAAACTACATTTTAAACCCACAAAGTTGAATTGAAAAGAGAATGTTATAATGTTGATACGTATGAGAATGTATTTAAAATGGGTTCTCTCTCTCTCTAGTCGAATTTATCAACAATCCATTAATGAAATTTTAATCTTCTCAATCTCCCTTAAAACGATACATGCACGACCAATGGTTACCATAAATACGGTTAAAGACAAGACTAGTTTATTAATACTTTATTCGGTAAGAAAATAAAGAACGAGTTAGAAAGTAAGACAATAATTATATGCCTCTTGTAGAACGTTTGATGTTAATGGCATAATTTGTTTTAACGAGCAATAAAACAGCATTAATGCTCAATAATATAGAAGTGAATATGAAGTGAGAGAAAATGTGTCGAAAGCCATGATTGAAAAGTTACTTTATCTACTAAAAATATACATACATATATATATATATATAAAGAAATTGCTAGAGATTTAATTATTAAAAGTCTAATTAAATTTATATCAGTAGATAATATAATTTTCTCTATTGATAACGTAT